GGCGACTTGCATATTACTAGTATATTATTAGACACATAAAGTTATCTTTGATATTGTGGCAACTAGCATGTTACTTAACCAATCAAGGTTATTACCTTAGTGGCCACTAGCTATGATGTTATTAGCCACACAAAGTTATTAGCCATTGTGGTGACTAGCATATTATGTCATCAGCCTTGTAAAATTATTAACCTCTGTGGTGACTAGCATGTTATGTCATTATTACTCACTGTGGAAAAGTGTTGCATATTTTTACCTTGTCCATATCATTGGAGATGAGATAACAGGCAAGGTATATGAGGGGAAAATGTTGTTGTCATTGTCTGTCATCAAACTTTTTTTGTGGTCACAATATCACAAATAACACAATAACAAATTTTATCAAATTTCTTTCAAACTTATTACATTAACCAGTTTTGGATCTTAGCCAATTTTGATTATGGTTCATGTTCATGTTCTATGTACATTTTTCAAGATATTCATTAAATTGCACTTGAAACTGTCTTCTGGTTGTCGTTACAGCAATTTTTATCTAACCACCTTCAAAATTGGGAATCACTATCAACCAAGGTCAGTTTTGGTGTAAGTGCAATTTTCAAGAAAGGGGTAGAATTTAACTGAAATAAAACATTTTTAGATAGAGAAATAAGTACAGAAAGAGAATGACGTTAGTACATGTTACTGCTCTTCAAGATTGTCAATTAGGAAAGTATAGTAAACACTTACAAAAACACTTTCCTGCCTTTTTTCAAATCTGTACAGTATTTTATTTTGCTTAGATATATTACTGGGCTATTATTTGGGAACAGTATATATAGCATTGTTTTGCTTAATTTGTCTTGGTTCTGTTGCTGAACAATTATTTCTTAGGAACACTTACACAATTCAAGTTATATTATTCTATGAGGAACATAAGATAAATACAGTAGTATTTGAGAAAAATGATTATTAATTTATTTTTTGTGTGTAACTATGTTTTCACCTATATTTCCACACAAAATGCTTAGATAATATATTATTGTATTACTTGAGGACTTTTATACTCATTTTTGCCATGCAAAGAAATAATATTACATCATTTGTCATCCATCCATACATTTGTTATTTAATCTCGGTTCTCAATGGACAAGGTTGTGATAGTTATGCTATGTTTCATTATAATATCCAGCTTTGAGGTAAATACTTCAGCTGAATTTGCACATTCTAAAAACATTAGTTTTCAAATTAGCATTTTTTGTCTGATTGTATGTAAACTGCTCTCATTTTAAGATAGAGTCTGGATTGATTTGAATTAATTGTCGATGTGATACAAAAATCTATCAAAATGAGATATTTTGATGTTTTTACAAAAATGACCCTTAGTTTAATTGTTACATTCATTTCTTCTTTTTAAGAAGTCCATAAAATCTGACATTATTCTGAAAAGAAATTCAAAATGAAAATTATTTCAATATATTTAGACAATTCTAGAACTTATAAAACATTAGTGACATTGAAAGGTGTCCTATGCTGCTATTTTTTAAAATCTCTGAGGATTAGTGAATTGTGTTTTCATTTTTTGCACAGATTCCCATCATGAAAATATTATTGACTGCATAATTTTGCAACCTAATTACCCACATACAGATAATTGTATTTTAGGAGTGGTTGTGTATTTGATCCTACACTGAAATCATAAAACAAATATATATAATATTTTAGATATTTTATTATAAAAATAAAACAAATTTATTAACAGCCATAAAATATCTATTGAGAACCTATCTTTATAATCGGGTATTAAAGACTTGTTGGACAATGTGATCTACCTTTTATCTACCGTATGTATGTTTGTGATCAATTCTCAAAATAAAACACGGGTTATGGTAATTACAGACAAACAAATAAATATATTGATTGTCATCCAGAAATAATAAACTCTGACACCTTAATCGGTCACGATATCAGTTCATATTTTATGCATGAAAGAATCAGTCACGACATCTGCTCAGTGACAAAAATAGTACCACGATAATATCACGATGGCTGTATCATATCAGCAGGGAATTATAAATCCTCTTTTTTTCCTTGCTGGCATTTCTCTTGCATCAATTGCGCACTATATTCTGATCTCTATATCCTCTCTCAAACTGCGGGATTCGTGTCAAAATGGCTACGCGTGTAACACGCCTGTACAAAATGATATACTGATGGCAGGACCGCAATTTATTGACGTGGTTAGACAGAATTCGTACTTGCCCAGCGACAGCGCCGACAAGCTAATGGTTGACATGCATCGATTTCGCCGAAAATGTACGTGTCCACCGCCACCTGATTGGTATGAATCGGCCAATAAACGTCGCCTCGTGGAATCTAAATTATGGAGACAGGAGATAGATGCAAAGCGGGCCCCACTAACAATTTGTAAAGCAATGTATCCATTTACTTACGTTGGTTCTGGTATCACCGTTGAACCATTCAACAAAGTACCGATTGTCGGGCTGTCCTTCTCCCTTGTGGTAGAACATATCTTAGAAACAACCGGATATTTCTCAACCAATAGTTCTGTCGCTAACTTCTAGAAATAAATATGGTGTGTTAAGCATTGCCGGGGATTTCAAATATAGTGGTACAATTAAGGGAATACAGACGTCATCTCTTTCCATTCACGTCGGTGAAGACGTAAATGAAATCAACAATCTGTTGAATAAAGTCATCTATACTGGTACCGTGTATCTTATGATGCTTACGACAAGATTCAAGTTTCCTTTCTCAATTTCACCATCGATATTAATCTTCACATCAAACGCCCGCCATTACCAGATCTCATTGATCCAGGGGCGACAGGAAGCGTCATTGACAAAGTCACTGTCATTACCAAGACTTTTGAACGCCCGGATATTGTAAAACGATTTATAAACAGCGTCCATCATTTTTATCCTAATATGACTATCATTGTTGCGGATGATTCACAACAACCAATACCAATAAAGAAAGATCATGTCAAATATTATACAATGTCATTTAGAGACGGTAGTTATCCAGGAATTAATTTGGCATTGTCACAAGTGGAGACAAAATATGTACTTTATGCAGACGATGATTATGTGTTCACAAACGAGACACGACTTGAATTGATGCTTGAAAAACTTGAAAATCCACATGCCAATATAGATATAGTTGTACCCAACGTGATCGGTCTACCTAACATGAGTGCTCTGTTAAAATTTGGATTCCATGAACATGGAATCTGTGGCCTTGGTGTTCGCGGAAAGGTGTCACGTGATTATTTAATGGTACCCCAATACCCGCAATGTAAATACGGTGATTTCTTCGAAAATGTGTTATTGGCTAAAACTGTGATATATCGAAAAATTGGCTACTACCCTCCCATCAAACCTTGCACGCACGTGGAGTTTTGGACGAACGCAATCGGGAAAGCTCGCATCGTGCTGTGCGATGACGTCAGAATATTACACAAACATGGTTTTAATCGGGTTTATAACAAATTTCGTGTAGAAACGTTAAATATTGAGAAAAAACGAGACCCTTCCCCTTTGTTTGAAAATGATCTATGTTATTCGCATAACTACGATTTCCCTATGTCTAAAGAAGACGTCATGCACTAAATCATAATTTTCTCACGGTTTCATAATTACAACTGTCTACTCTACAATTTGCCTTAAGAATTGTTTAATAAATAACACGATTATACCCTGACTCATTGTCGTAAAACCAATATGTTGATTTTTAGTGTGTTTTTTTGTGAGGGCTAACCTCCATAGACCAGGCATGGGAATGTGTATGGTGTACCAATAGCAGTACTCGTATCGATTTTTTGGAAGTATCACATGATTATTTGCGCATTGTGTCGACGAATTGGTGTCTCCAATTATCGGTGTTATTGTTTTTGTTTTTACCTAAGATCGATAGAAACGGCGACTTTAACATTTTAATGTGTTTTTCCTATGCTATATGTTTATATTACGAATCATCTTTCAGTCCTCTTTATTGTGTAATATTGTTGTTATTCAGTTTCAAACATTTTGCAGAATTAACGACAAATACAAATACAAGCATACATTGTGGGATGCTTTACATCATTCTGTACATTTAATTTTTTACATAACAATAAACAAAACAAAGTAGCATTTTCTACCCTCGTTTGTTAAGAAAATTCAAAATATTATCGACATTATCTAAGATTGTTTCACATTTTTTATACATATCTTAAATACGCTAAAATACTTTATCTTAAACAAATGAAATCACCCTGAAACGCAATATTTTTGTAAATCTAATTGTGTGTTAATTTTCATAGACTCACTTCCTAGATTTTTAAGTGAAAAATCCCAAGCAAATTAATGTTAATAGTATTACATACACATTTTACGTTTGATATGAACATGAATTATTATAATCAGTCGCGTAACAGCAGCTGACTCACGACTATCAGTTATTTGTTTTTGGCGATACTCCGATTAGTAGTAACCCTTTACAATGATCCTCTTGAATGAATGGATTGTCGATATTATGATAAAACATTGCAAACCTTTAATGACATAGTATGTGTAATCTGAATGAATACGTAATTCACACGTGTTGATTCATAATCAGTTTCATAATCAACCTGCCATACATACATATGTGTTGGCATGTTCGCTTATTTTATAGTAATAAAATAATAAATTAAGTTTTTTATGCATTACAAATCCATATTAAGAATCAATTAAAAACTGAAAGGAAAAACTTTATCCAGTCAATACTCATTTCGTTGATTTGATGCGTATCTAATACCAATGTACATATTGACGCTATGACTTTGCTGAAAACAAATCGCAGATCATACCATGGCGGACATTTAGTTTTCGTAAATTTAAATTTTAAATCTAAGATGGGATTTACTTTAATTGTTGACATAATCACCTGACAATTATCCTAAAACGCTAATATGCAAAATGTTTAAACACAAAATACCAAACTCAACTCACATTCCTGGAAATCCCGTACGGACTATGCATGGCACATCTTTACTTTCAATGCATCCAATGCGATAACATAGCTGAATTAAAAAAATATTCTATTGTATGTTGTATTTATGTAACATATTCCTAAAAAAATATTCACAAATTATATCTACAACAACATAATATCGGATGAGCTAACACATGGTAATTCACTAACAAAATTAAGTTTCGCGATAGGTGTACTATGAAGAGATGTTGAATTTCAAGACCACCTTGTCAGTGTATTTCTTACCCCTCAAACCTTATATGTATAGATCTGATGATTTCAAATTTAGTAACTTCACTCATTTTATTAATAATTACAGCGCAGCTAGCAGATTATGGTACATATGGTAAATTTTATGCAATACAAATACTGTATGTCCATCCGGTTTTTGACTGACAAAAGTAAGTCTTGTCTGTCTATATTAGAGTTACAAGGTCTAGTAGACGTCCGAGCAAATACCAAAAGTGTTATCCCCTTAGACCCGCATGACTGTTGCTGAGACAAAAAAAAACATTTTGTCATTATGGAGGAATCAATTACCAACAATGGGGTAACAAACAGCAACCAGCAATATCAACACATTTTTGATACAATAAATACAAATATATGACAATCTTCCAATAAGTACTTTCCAAAAAACTTAAACCTACAACATGAGGGTTGGTTACAATGATGGCATTACTGCAGAAACATGACACGGAACGACCAGCACTACCGATACCAGCACGAAAACTAGTTACAATGCATAGTTTTATAGATCGGAGAAATATTAAGAACAAATCAATGCTAAGATTATTATTAAAAGAAATATGATAACATGATGCCATGTATCCTAAAATTACCGAGTGTTTTCTCGAATTCATTCATTATATTAAATGTGTTGTGAATAACACGGGGAAACGTTTGCCAAGTCTGAACGCCTGGTTATTTTCGTCCTCTAATTTCCCTATACTGTATGTATAAGGTATAATATAAAGTACATGCTGCGACCTATGCCATCTTCCGATTCACACGATTTAGATGACCATTGCCATGGTGAGAAGACGGACTAATATTACATACATAGTGCTGTACAGATGATAAGCAGAACAAAAGCAATAGACCTGCCAGAGTATACATGTACATAAACCCTAAAAACTGTATTCACGATTGTTGAATCATCACATCACATCACAACAACTGGTTCCTGGAAAAGCACAACTCATAAATAAAATAAATCACACTCTGTATACTCTAACATCTGAACCAGTCTCATAAGTTGCAGATGATGATTATACCGCCTACATAGTCACCATTTTCCGAATTCGAACTATGCAGATGCAGCAGTGTCAATCGGCTATATGATGGCTAATACAACAGACAATGATTTGCCTTGCCATGGTCAAAGGATCATGTTTAATTGAGTAGAAAGAAATGTTTCCTATTTTTGTTTCTTGTTTAATATGTGAATATTTGTGGCATGGACAGCACATTTCACTATTTCAATGTCGTTGCCCCAAAATCATAAGCTTGGTATAATCTTTGCTGAAGCCCGGGGCTGCTTTTGCACACCTTCCTGGGGTCAATTACGATATTGCAAATTATCTTTCTCATCTGCAGATAAACCACTTCAGTTATTGTATCCGAGCGCTCTTTCTCGAGTGAACTATGCCTATTCTGCATTCCAGAACCACACTCCTGCAAACTAAACACACATGTACTAGCCATGCACACAGTCCCCCACATTCACAATAGTATCCCCATACTTTTCGCTACAACGCTGGCAAAACAAGACCTTGCATACTAGACTATTAGGATATACATGGCTTTCACCATTCACATGTTCACCGAACCAAAACATCACTCACTGCGTACTTCAAGATATAAAGAGAAACAGTTGTGATGTAACCAAAAAATACTGCCAAAACATTATGCGTTAATCTAAGGATGCCCACAGAACACATACATTACTTCACACACATGAAAAATGTGTTTGTCCACTTCTATTATACCATTATCTAGCTTCGTACACATCAACGAGTTCCCGGCTCCAACTGAAACCACATTCACTGCCAACCAAATGCTGCTCACATTCAACATCCAATGTGAACTATATGTCATGTAATCACGGGTGCACAATTACTATTGCATTGTCAAACTCATCCATCTGCACGGTGAAAGGCCACTTAAATTATCAACTTGATCACATGACCGATCTGCTCGTCCCAGCCTTCCAGTTCACCAACGGTCGCTGGCTTACTAGACAAAACCTCGCCATGCGCCTACGTGATCGCTGTATTCATTTCATCTGTACACCACACTCAGTTTCCATGGCGGTACCACGACAGATGTGTTAATTAAAACCCTTAGGGTAGTGTCTGCTACTAAGTATATACGACTAACTCTCTTCAGTTTGCCAAGCAAACCCATTCGAGCTTAGACATTTTTGCATGTCCCTACTTTATTTATATCAATAGTGTTGGCTTTGCTAGGTGATTTGCCAGTGCGAACCTTTCCACTTTACCTGAAGTCATCACATTTTTGCCGCCCTTCAACTCGCAACATTTGTCATTCATCTCGTTTTGATTTGATTCTGTTCAGTCTATATGTTTATCGTATTATTAACTATTATTCGATGACCATAGCCGATTAGTCTATTAGTTTGTAGAATTATGCTTGTGTTTGTTTGTGATACCATTTTCTTCTAACATTCTTTGTGTTGTTTTCCTTTCGAACTAGATTTTTAGTGTTTTCGCAGCTTTAGAATCTGTAATTCTCCGCACTTGCGGTAACTCAGGCAACACTCCAAGTGGGGCAAAACAATCAATATTCACCCTACAGTATAGGATGCTCTGACACCAGTGGTGGGCTACTGCAGAACAGGCTCCGTCTCCGGAAAAGGTCGTTACCATACTCACCTTCGGTCTTACTCTCTCTACTTATCTTATAATTATATAAGGCATAATGTAGTGTTGGGACACAATTCAATGAAATATATATTTAACACAGTTTCTGCACCGAAAATAAAATATGATGTTGATGGTAGTAGCAAATCCAATTTGGCATGTTTCCCCATAATTTAAATTTAACAATCAATGAAATTTGAAAGTTGTCACTTTGATTTTAAAATATCTACATAAGTGAGCGAGAATACAACTGTGATATCACGTAGTAGCTGAGTAATTACAGTTATGTTTATTATTTGTATTTTGTTTATTTACATTTGTCATTGTTACATTTAGGAAAACGTACTTATAACTGAAGGTGCATTGAACAGTCGAATATTTGCACATTTTTTCAATAAAGAAATAAGATTTTTCTATGTGTGAATTAAAGAGAGATGTTAAATATAACTATATACCTGTGTTGTTTCGAAAACTTCATCTTTGTTATGTCTTTTCTTACCCAAGTCACAAAGGAAGGATACAGAATAATGCAACTGTCATGAATTTGTTTTCGCGTATCTGTTGACCGACTTAATTAGTTGATTATTAGCGAATTGCTGTGTTATGTCTGTCATCGTGTAGGCCTATTTGAAGTTTTGGACGGAACTTGGCTCAGTGATTTGGAACTAATTACAAGATACCGTCGCTATTCTGACATCCGTAGTTATTAATGTAGTGAACGATTAATGAAA